CCCCCCCCGAGCCACTAACAGCACTGTGGGGAAAAAGTAGTAACTTTTTCCCCACCACAGAGAACAATGGTGGGAATGGGGGTAACCTGTTTGGGGGCCCGTAGAATTGGTCCCCTGGTCCAATGTTCTTGAAACGTGGTGCGTATCTTGGGGAGAGGCTCCAGCAGCTACCCTACGAGTTTGGAGCCTCTCCCTCAAACCCGCTCTCCTCCAGCCCCCAGAATATACTCTTATGTTTCCACCATTGACTTCAATGGCCCATAGGATATAATGGGGCTGAAATTGACATTCCACTGGCCAAAAGACTCCCAAATCAGCTCCTACTGAAGTAACTGACCTGTGGGAGTGTTCCCACCGGCCGAAATTGATTCTGTCTGATTCCGCCGAATCCGAATCGGCCAATTTATCTATTTATTTGCACACCCCTACCCATGAGCACTGATTCCTTAAAGTACCTATTACAGCTGATGCTTATACTGGCTTAGGTGCCATATATGGAGTCTTATGTGTGCAGGCTGGTTTGAACCCCGACTCTGCCATGGGTGACCCTGTGGGTGACCCTGAGCCAGTCATACGTTTAGCTTTATCTCCCTTACAGGGTTATTGTGAGGACAGAAAGGGGTTGAGAACCATGTAAGCCATTTGGGGAAGAGGCCAGGGTATAAATTAAATAAGTAAACCCCTCATCCCTTGGCATATGTGCAGAGTTCTACATTTTGCTCCAAGGCTGTTGCTCGCAAGCTAACAGTTCATAACAGGGTGTACAGAAGGAAGACCTATATTTCTGACTTTATTATTGGATGGGGAGTAAGTGATTCCTGCAAAGGATACTGTACAATAACTTTTTTCTGCTGTGCTCCTAGGTGCCCCTGACCCAACAGCAGGTGCTAGCATAGATGATGAGAATTGCTGGCATCTGGATGAAGAGCAGGTCCAGGAGCAGGTCAAACTCTTCCTCTCCCAGGGTGGATACCACGGATCAGGGAAGCAGCTCAACTTGCTTTTTGCGAAGGTAGGTAGGAGTGCCGAGAATATATGCGTCGTGTTGTGTTTTCTTCAAGATGGTCTTAAAGTGGGTCCTATTTGCTTAATGGAACACATCTGGTTATTACTAGCAAATGGCTTCCTGTGGAGGAAAGAGAGTTGATGTGACTTGGGATTCAGTTATGTTTCAAGCTACCCATGTTTGTTGTTGGGATTTGTAAAGCCGCCAGCTGCTAGGTGGAGAATAAAATGGCTTTAAAAATATCTAGCTCTTAAGTTGCAAAGGAACCTTTGGCTGTGATGACTTTAATGACTCAGACAAAAGCATGCAGTACCCATAAATATTTTCAAAGCTTGCACTTTTGAAGCCGGGCTCGTAACGTTCCACAAGTCTTGAGCTGGCTCTGAAGAATTACTACATTCAAGAGAGGACCTTTTAGGAAACATGTAGTATGAAACCTGAAGGGCTAATTAAACACCCAGCACTGGAGATCAATCTAAGTTTTCTCTTCGCATGTTCTGGCTTGCTGTTGACGAAAGTAGTGGTACAATCCAGCCAGTGCTTCCTCTTAGGCCCGCCAAAGCCCTTTCACAAGAGAAGAAATGGCAGTGTTGATAGAACTCCGGGGCAGGGAGTCTTCTGCCTAGCTGGCTGCATTGCAGATGTCCTGCCCACCAACAGACAGCTACAGGCAGTGGTAGTCTTGAGAGTAAAATTGACAGATCATCATAGGAATTGCATCTTTGGGGCATCAAGAATTGGAAACAGGGTAGAAGAAAAGTAGACTCTTATTATCAGCCGAAAAACTGTTTGAGTTGACTCTGTCTAAGCAAGAAATATTGAAGTCAGAAACAGAGAGAAGTATATGAGCCCGAAACCAGAGCCAATTCTTTTTTGGTTATCAAGTCGCAACTAAGGTGACCACATAGGGTTTTCAAGATGTTCAAAGATGGTTTGCCATTGCCTACCTCTGCATAGCAACCCTGCACTTCCTGTGTGATCTCTCATCTAAGTACTAACCAGGGCTGACCCTACTTAGCTTCCAAGATTGGGCTAGCCTGGGTCATTTATTGCAAGGAGATAAAATAATTAAATGTTACTCCTGAAACTTGTGGGGGTGGGGGAGTCCTCCATAACATGATGCCATGTGGCATGGGGAGCTGCAGTGAGGAAAGGGAGTCATCTGGAGTTTTTCTCTCTCCCCGCAAGAACGGAATGACATCGTATGAATGAAAGTCACGTTGGAAGAGGAAGGAGAGCAATTCCTGCTCAGTTCCCTTCAGCATGACATATAGTTGGCCCTCAGTCAAGAGGAACAATACTGGATTGGATCTAAAAGGTCATAATATGAAAAATTAACGTGTTTTCCCAATATTTCGGCACAGAATACCTCCACTCTAAATGAGGTGCTTTTCTGCCACTCACTATTGCCTCTGACACATTATTGTATACTTTCTTTGGTATTGCATTATTGAGTCTTCTTGTAACAGTTTCCTCTCCAATTAGTACAAATTGACAGCATCCAGTGTTCCACAAATAATCTCATTCTTCCGTTGGCATCTTCTTTGTTTTGTTTGCATGTGATTTCCTTCCAATTTTGTTTTCAACTGTTCACACCTTGGGTTTTGGAGTTTCTTTTTTGGCGGCATGTGTTTTGTTTTCCATTGCGTTTATTCTATTTCCTAGGTGCGAGAGATGCTAAAGATGAGAGATTCCAACGGCGCTCGAATGCTGACGTTGATAACGGAACAGTTTATGGCCGACCCGCGCCTGTCGCTGTGGAGGCAACAAGGAACAGCAATGACGGACAAATATAGGCAGCTTTGGGATGAGCTAGGTAAACGCAGAGAAACGCCACTCATGGATGACATGAAGGAATACTGAATGCATTTGTGAGGCTTTTCCCTTGTTAAAAGGAGCCTGGAACAGTTGCCTGTCCCTCGGAAATGTGGCAGCCTGGCAGCTTGTTTTCATGGGCATTTTTTTTGCTAAAGCTGAGAACACATGGCCAGAAATAACCACATGACATGTTTAATAGTAGGAGTCAGAATATAAACACTTCCGAGGTAATAAGTAATCCATTGTATTAACAAGAGCTAGGTTTGCAGCTATTAATAGTAAGTGTTTACTTAGGTCTGCCTATCTCTCGATTCCAAAATGTCTAAGAAAGGACATACGGCTTCAGTGATCACTTTTCATTTGGTGTGGAAAATCATGCAGCTCTCTGTTTTAAACTTAACAGGTGGTGCAGCAGAGACCTAGGTCTCAAAGCTCACATTTTTAGTTAGAAGTGGGTACATGGAAGTGGGTTCCAAGGTAATATTACTCATTATTTTCAGTGTACTTGGGTTTGTGGACTCAAAAGACAGGAAGACACACGTTAAACCAGTGCGCTCTAGCTGTGGTCACCTGCCCCACCCTGACAAGTGCGCACATAAGTAGTGAATGCAGCTGGGCCATTGGACTGAAGACTGCTTGCTGGCTTCACTTAGTGTTAGTAGCTGAGCTCTGCACAAATCTGAACTCAAAAGAATCTGCTGGAAACTGTCATTTACCCTTTGATCCCCCTCCCCCCCAAGAGCTTTCATGTCTCAGTCTACCTCAGTGGAAACTGGGACTCAAACAGCTGTCTTGGTTGTAACTCATGCCTAGTGTTTTGGCGAGCAGCACATACACAGAGTGCCATGTGTGTTTGTGGCTCGTTATGAAATGAATATGACACTAGAGCCAGAGGGGCTAATTACAAGTTGTCGTGGTAATATCAATTTATTTTGCACAGACAAGCAATCAGTAAGAAAGGCCTTACAACACATTCCACCATTCTTCAGGGCATACTATATTTAATAATAGAAAAGAGTAAGTGTCCAGCAGCACTTTAAAGACTAACAAAATTTGTGGTAGGGTTATGAGGTTTTGTGAGTCACTGCTCACTTCAGATACCTGGCTGGTTGAAGCAGGGGGGGAGCCTGTTAGGTCCCAGATACTGCCAGCTTGATATCTGTAAAAACAGCTTCGAATCAGGTGATAGGTGTTTTTGATCCTTAAGAGTTGCGTCTTCCATGCTAGGCCCATTTCAACTGTTTGCACCTGGTGTTAAGTGATATGAACAGAGAACCACCCCACCAGCTACGTATCTCTCTGAAGCTGTCAGGTCTTGCTTATGGTGTTGTGGTATCCCAGGCTAAGACTCCCAAGTACTGTTTCACTGTCCCATTGTGTAGCAAGGCCAGTATGTGTCAAGTCATGCACTAGGTCTTGTGTTCTCTGTTAGACAGGAGCTTCGCTGACAAGTAGTTAAGGAAAGCCTGCATTGACTTTTAAATGGATTGCTGCCTGGTAAAGATCAGCCGTCTCTCGTTTTTGCTGAGGTGATGGGTCAGATGAGATGATGTGTCACCAAAAGCCGATGGATCTGTATGGCTGCCAGTTGTCCATAGAACCACCTGTCTAACTGTTCTTTTGAAGCCTTAATCTCATTCAAAGTAAGGGACATCAAGCCGTTGATGCAGTCGCTTCTAGGCACTACTTTCCCCATGCAGAGCTGAAGCACATACCCAATTTGCCTGGAAACCATTGGCACTGAAGCAGCACAAAGTGTTGTTGATCGTAGATGGGCTCTTTTATCTAGATGTGTGGAGTATGTCTGTTACAACTGTGGTCACTCTTGCCCTTAAGCAGATATTAATTTGGCAGAGCCCATAGACCTGGTATTTGGATTTCCTTTATTAATGTGTGAAATGAGTCAACAGACCCAGACCATCTTAAAATGTAATGCTACATAAATGTAAAATCCCATTCACCTGATAAATGGAGTACAGGTTTACTTTAATTCCAGTGATCATAGACCATGTTTGCATTTATGGCATCCAAGCTCCCATTGTAGATTACTTATGATATCAAAAGCTGTTCAAGAAATGGCTTTTCTCACACAGTTATTTTGTGTCATTTTAAGAAGAAAGGATATACTTTTTTCAGAACAAAGGAATACTTGGTTCTAGTGCAGCGATATCTTGCAGCCTAAAATACCTTGGAGGTTCTGTATCTAATTTGAGCCAGTATTGGGTGTCAGACTTTTGATAGAGAGTTTATTCATTGTATCTTCTGTGCATGCATGCATCTCTTCCAGGTATAGCCAGATAGCAGTAGTGACTATAACATGAATGTTAAGTCCATGTATTCATCTGTGGGTTATTAGTAAAGTGAAAGATGTAGTCAGCAGCCATGTCACGTCCCAGAGTTAAAAATCCAAAAAAACTGTGGTGGTCTACGTAATACCTCTTTAAAGTATGCATAACTGTGCAAGCTTTGGAATTCACCAGAACTCTTCATCAGGCTGGATGTTACAAAGAATGTTTTTTTTTAAGTTTGAAGCAGCTCTGCACATAATGCCTACTTGACCAGAGCTTGTCATCACATCCTAAAGAATCTGGATAACTGGGTTTGATTCCCCACTCCTCCACATGCAGCCAGCTGGGTGACCTTGGGTCAGTCACAAGTTCTCTCAGAGCTGTTCTCTCAAGAGCAGTTCTTAAAAGAGCTCAGCCCCACCTACCTCACAATGTGTCTGTTGTGGGAAGAGGAAGTGAAGGAGATTGCAAACCGCTTTGAGTGAAGGGTGGGGTGTAAATCCAATCTCTTTTTCTTCTTTTCCTTTATCTATTTAAACATTTTTCTTCTTTTCCTTTCACTGTTCTAATCACCTCAAAAGCTTGCACAATGTTGTGTCAATTGGTTGGTACTAATAAAAGGTGTTGTGCTTGCAGTAGAGCTCTTGAGCAAGCAGAAGCACAAGAAAAAGACCATGATAGCCATTTGTGTGAAGTCAAGCTTTTTGTATCCCCACTAGCATTTCTGCAAGATCTTAATGCAACCAACTTCTGCGCACTGTAATATTTAGGGAAGAAAGTTCTAGGTATTGCACAAGATGCACAAGTGGAGCTGCACTAAGCCCGTCTGTGCTTCCACTTGTGGACTGCGGGATTCAAGCCATTATGTAGATGATTATTTAGGTTCATTGGTAATTCAAGTGTATTGCATGCAGGAAGTCCCTGATTCACTCCTCGCCATCTCCAATTTAAAAATCCAAGGTCGCAGATTTTTGATCAAGATCTTTCTCTGCCTGAGACCGTGCAAAGCTGATGCTACTTGGTAGAGGGAATACTCAGCTAGGTGGTTTGATCTGGTATAACTCAACTTTGGTTTTGAAAGGTAGTTCATAAACTGTGCTTGAGTGCTTGGCTGTTCAAATTACTAGACTTCTTGCCGGTTGACAGGGTGTAAGAATTGAAGCGATAATCCTTCATATACTTGGTCTCCCTTCATGGGCCTGGAATGCATGGTACTTATCTGCTGGTGCCTGTTGCTTACTGTTAGCTGATTTCCAGCAAAGGTCAAACTGTTTCCCCGCTTCCCTGGAATAAGTATCCTTGTTCACAGTCATTAGTCTTGTAGCTTGAAATCTGTAACAACCCTGTGGCCATATGTCAAAAAATTAAGTCTGAGTAGCTTCTGGGTTTTCAGGGGGTAGGGAACCATTTTGTTTAGTGTGGGGGGTGAGGAGAGAGTTGACTTTTGTGCCTCTGTGTAAGGATCACATTGCTGCAAGACTGTGCTTTGGAATTAAATGCTGAGCCCGGCCAGATGCTAGACATAGAGAAGAGGCTGAGTTTTGTCAGCAAATGGGATCTGCCAGTTAATTGGTGTTTTCTGTGGGCTTCTGACTGTGATATGAAATTGGAAGCCCTTTAGCCACATGGGTAACACCAGGCCAGAATACAAATGTCACAAGTCACCATTGGGACCCATGGTGAGACAATAGCGGTTCCCACTTGAAAGCCACGCCACTACTGCTCGTTTTAAATATGGGGATTACGATTCAGACGAAAAGACCCATTTGCCTCTTAACTGCAATTTAAACGTCCTCTTAGCAGAAGCTAAGTGACAAATTAAATGAAAAAAAGTGCCCAGGTTTGTTTTTTTTTAAAAGCTGTAATGCAAAACAACCTTTTATTGCTTCTCATGTGCCACGAATAAATCATTATAGTTGTCAACCCTAAACCAAGCCATAATTGGCACAGCTACTGTTATCAAAGTGGGGCTGCTCTTGTGACAGCTTAATAAAGCTGAAACTGTTAAATTAAATCTCTGATGCTTTATCTGATGAGAACAGTCAAGCAGAAGAATCTGAGAGACGAGTATCCGATGCTTGGTGGAGTGATGGAGCCCAACAACTTGTCAACACGTAGATTACAGGATCAGATCTGTTTCTTCTAATCTACGATTTTCATTATCTCTTCCAAGCCTTCCTTCTGTTTTAGAAGTGAGGAAGCATCACACACAAGTCTTAGGTTTCAAAACAAACACTTCAGTCATCATTCCCCCCCCCACATTGTAAAAACAAGTTATCTTTAATTTAAAGTGTGTGGATCTGGCATTGCATTACTTTCAAGCACAGATGAGAAGGTTCCTGTATGTGTTAGAATCAGTGGGGAACTTTCACCGCCATGTTCTCACTCATTCCAAAACTGAGTTGGTTTATAAGTAAGTCTGCATAACCATTTAGGGGTTTGTTTTAGCATTATTGACTTGCCTGTGTTTTAGTTGAGAATCGACTTTCTGAAGTTCTGAATTAGCTTGGTTTCTCCCATTTTGGTCAGGGGTTCTGTGCACAAGCATTCTCAAACCAATCCTGCATATGCCATACAATGATCCTGTATTGATTCTTTGTTGTACAATATATTATAGACAGTGGTGGTTGTGTATTGGAGTTCCTATAACAAGTCACCATTCGTCTCTAAAAATAAAGTCGATGGGAGATAATGCCGAAATAACTGAAAA